GGTGGAACTGAAGATTTTTCTGATGAAATTGTTCTCAGCTGCAAATTTATAATCGTCCCAATGCCATGTTAAATTGAAGCATTAGTGTAGTGTATTTTAGCATAATTAAAAAACTGCTTGTTATATTTGGCAGTCTTGCATATCTATCTATTTCTGTAAGTGTAATAGGGTTTTATGCATTTTGATCTACTTCTACTTGCTGCATCTGCCTTACTTTTCTCATTTCCATCTCAATAATAATTGTTTTATCCCCGAGCCGACGGCGCGAAGCGCCGTGCGAGGGTACTAATTTCCCCCGGCTATTTACACCCGGGGAGACGAAAGCATTAGCCAAGTCTAAAGTTCATCAATGAGCGCGGGCGTGGGTTACCGTGAGTGATTAAGTGGGTGGTCATCCTCACTGATCTCAAAAATATGGCGGACTGTCATGAATAGCGGACACTGATTGGTCCAATTTAAAGTTTGCATTATAACGACTGCATGACGACAGTGAAATAGCAAACATTTCTTGATTTGATGATTGATAAATTTCTTGCAAATATATTTCATTTTTGCTCGCATTTTTGCAAGATTTTGTAAATTTTAAGAAAGAAAGGGCGAAAGAATCGGCTAAAAGAAGAGAGCCGATGTTAACGAAGGTAAGTTTGTTTTAAATATTGATTTTATAACTGCTTTTATAAAACCTGACGGCCTTTGCGTATATAAAACAACTAAACAAGACAGCATATAATTTTAGTTTATCTTTAATATTCATTCCCTTTTTTATTATATTGAATTTTTAAATATAAAAGAAAGCAAAGTTATTTGCATGCGAGAATTTGAAATCATTTTATTGCAAACTCAACGTTTATCGATAAAGCCATTTCATTAAAGGCAGTTTAGTTTTATAAAGAACACTTTAAAACGTTTTGCGGAGCGTTTATGGTTGAATTTTACCTTAAATTGAAGCTTATATTACGTATAATATCATACCTAACATATATATGTTGGGAAATTGACAATTTTGTGAATTAAAAGTGATATTTTTAGGCGATTTTTCATTTGTAAGAATATTCTAAAAAATTATCGTGTTACCAGTGTGACCAAATGTTTGTCAGCCATTTTAATAAACCATTGCTAAAATTTTACTAAATAGGCCAAAATTTTACCAGATTTGGATTTTATCCATCGCACTTCTGGATAGTATTTTGTCTGAATCAGTTTCGGAGTCTGATTCAGACAAAATACTATCCGTTAAATCAATATTTTTAAATGTAATTTGCAATTTCGAAATGAAATTCGTCAAATGCCCAATTTTCAGCTGCGCGCGCTACTTCATGTTATTCGTTCAAAAGAGGTGACAAATTAAATGACGTAACCTGAAGCCTCTCTCCTCCGCAGAGGTTTCAATGAGCTTTACATGGCGTTTACCGTATCGAACCGCTGTGTGGAAGACGCGCAGGCGGAGACCAGGAAAGCACCAAAACCTATGCGGAGGAGAGAAACCTGAAGCCAGAGACCTGAAGCATGCAATGAGCAAACAGAACACAGGCTCCCGATTCAGAAGTGAGTCATCGCCACTGCATCAGGAAGGCATGTACTTCGCACTTTGCAGGGTCTTCTTAGTCATCATCAAACGTTTTAATAGAATTTTACCAAGAAAGTTACCAAATCCTTGAATTTTAAGAAATTTTACCAAAATTTTACTAAAAAATCTTTTTTACCAAATTTCTATCAAAATTGTCGAAATTTTACCAAAAGTAAAAAATATACTGAATATGGTCACACTGCGTGTTACCGTGACAACAACTTTAGATACTTCATGTTCGGAAAATACAATGATTTTATCTGCAAGGCGAGGGTTACTGCATGCATGTATTTTCTAGTTATAAATTTGGAAATAGAAAACATACGAATCTTCTCATTTCATGGGAACGACCTGAGACTGCAATCACGGCTTCAATTTTTGATTTGCAGAGTAATCAGATGCACTATCTAATGTATATAAGATATCTATGAATCCTACCTTCCAAGTTAAATACAAGATTTTGTGCTTGTTTCGTTTTCTGGGGACGATTTTTTCAATATTTCGTCGATTTTGAAACCAACGTTGCTGAACCATTCTTTTAGAAAAGCATTATTTACTATAGACCGCAAGTACATAATGCGCCAGATTTACTAGTCAACTAGCCAAACAGAACGCGCGATATGATAGCTTATTTGATATGCAAAACTTATACTAAATATATGTTATTTACAGGCTGCGTGATCCGTACTGAAAAAAATATTTTCCTGAAGTCTCAGAAACGAGACTGAACATAATCGCGGGCGCATGGCTCAAGGTTCCAGGTGGTAATCCTCACTTATCTCAAAATATGTAGCGGACTGTCGTGAATAGTGATTGATCAAATTTGAAATTTGCATTATAACGACTGCATGACGACAGCGAAATAACAAACATTTCTTGCAAGTTGTAATTTTGCAAGATTTTGAAAATTTCAAAACCTTTCTGAGAGTCACAAAACGTCTAAAAAGTCTAAAAGAATAGAGCCAAGTCGCCGAAAGTAATGAAGGTAAGTTTGTTTTTAATATTGATGTATTGTTTGCTTTATAATTACTCGCTGGGGCACAGTGCCCCGGGCGAGTATAGGTTTCGGCATTCATTTTTAGTGGATCGGCAATCTCCACTCGTCGTCGATATTAATGAGCTGCCTAATTTTCCCCCAATTATCCATAAGGCTCCTGCCACATTTTACCCAAATTATCCATAAATAGCCCTCCATTTTGAGGAAAATTCGGGAAAATTGAACAATTTTACAAGGAATTTCGCATGGAAACAGCAACCTTCGCAAATCACAAGTTTATAAAAGTTTATACGTTTGAATGCGCTGCTTTATACTTTGAGAAGAAAGCGACACCGTTCGAAGTGTATTACTAAACACCCGTATTCTAGCGATTTATGGTCTTTGAAAATGAAGCGAAATTGTATTGTTGAAAAATCGCTCGCAGTACGTAAATATTGTTGATCACAAATCACTCGCACTACGTTTGCCACAGGTTTGTCCTTGTATTTGTAATGCCTAATGGCGCAATAGGGATAAAAATACCACCGTTCGATTCAGCGTAAGAAATTGTACTTACGGATGTCAAATGGGTTACTAAGCACCAGTACTCTAGCGATTTATGGCCTTTGAATTGAAAATCAAGCGAAATTGTATTTGTTGACAAATCGCTCGCAGTACGTTTCATAGTGTATTTGTAATGCCTAATGGCCCAATAAGGATAAAAATACCACCGTTCGATTCAGCGTTAGAAATTGTACTAATTACGGATGTCAAATGTACAGTATTACTAAACAACAGTATTCTAGCGAATATGGCCTTTGTCAGTTGAAAGCCAAGCGAAATAATTGTATTGTTGACAAGTCGCTCAAAATTATTAATGCAGTACGTTTAATCCTTGATAACTTTGGTATCATTGGTTTTCTCTTTTTCGGCCGTATACCAGTGGATTCTAGCCTCCTCCGCAGGCATCTCGTACTTCACGTACTTCAGAAAGTCGGTGAGATGCCTGCCAAAACACGACATGGTTGAGCCGTTTTGCGCATCTTGCTTGCGCAGTGATTTCGCCTCTAGGGTATGCACGTGGGGAGGAGTTGTCATCCAAGATGGCGGATTGCATGGAGTGAAGAATTATGAAAATTCGTGAATTTATACTAATACGCTCGCTAAAGGCGGCTAAACGATTAAGAGTAAATCCGTAATGTAATGTCCGTAAATTTCGAGAATTGGGCGACAAATTGGAAAATTCGAAATTCCTTTATTTTACCCATAGTTTCCACTGAGTGAGTTATTTTGAAAAATATAGTTCAAAAGTCGCAGCTCCTCTTATTTTTCGTGAAATTACCTAAACATGATTTTGGGACTTTTAAGTCAATTTTCATCAGTCAAAATACAGGATTTTAAAGCGTTCGTGACGACTACCCTTCAAACATATTACGACCATTTTTTAGTATAATCTAAGACCATCTCTATATTTTGTCTTAGCAGCAAAATGTTTTTTTATTCCAAAATCTTTCTTGACATTTAAAGCTAGCTAATATTTGGTGTTTACGGTTCACAACAGAAAGGCAAATTTTTGTCAATTTCAATGTGTTCAAATGGACCGTGGTACATGACAAATTGCAACGAAAATAAGACTAACTTGCAAAGTAGCCATCTGTTTATAACATATTAAAAAATCTCTGGCGGCAAGCAAAACCCGCACCAGTGAGAAGTCAAAATGTTGATGCTATTTTTAGATGTCGGTGCATCATAATTGTACATTACACCGGTAATTACATGCAGTGACAATGTGACAGTTTTGTCGCATTTCAAAGATGCAGCGCAGAGTAAGGAATAAAACAACAATATTACTGTTGGAGAAAGTTAAAAATAGTACATTATTGTTTTAAGTGATGAAAATGTTTTTAAATCAAATTAAAGAGGTGTTTTATCAAAGATCAATCAATTATGACACAAATGCGTCACTATATAACACTGTTATTATTTAGTAAATTCCTTGAGCGTATATTCTATACAATAAATAACAATTCATATATTAAATACTTTAATAAAAACAATTAATCACAAACGACAAGCAAAGACTTGTATAAATGACAGTAAAACTAGAAATCAAGCGAAATATAAGCACAAACGAGACATTAATTGTCCCTATATGCGTGCAAGGTATACAAATATATAAAAAATATAAACGGATGTGCCAGTTAAATATCGTGCACAATAATCAACCCGGTCCAGAATAATTTTGTTGATGCAAACGAAATTAACAAAAGCAGAAAAAGGGGAAAACTTAAAATTTTAAAATTTAGAAGTTGCTTTGGGCAATCTGAGTGAACGAACGATTATAGCATACCAGACATTTTAATCTTTAACTTTGTAAACAATTACATTATGACATACTTTTGGACTTAAAGAAATATTCAGTAATATATAACAAGCAAACAAGAAGGAAACTGTAGGATGGCATCGTGTTACTATGCAACACTAGTTGGCGGTCAGTGTGGACCTAGTTCGTACAATCCTTCTATTGTAGAATGCGTAACAATCAAGGATTGTAATAAGGACATTTTAAACCATTGCTCACAATATAAAATTAGTAACGATTGTGGCCTGTCTGGAAGTGAATCAATGTTACTTCTTGCTCGTGCAGGTAACGTCACCGAATTTAATGTTTATTTTTTCATTCTTTGACTTTGTTGACTTACTGTTTGCAAATTTTAAAGATTGTAACTAAAACGTATCGGTATTCTTTAGGAATTTTTGAAATCGACGAGTCATACATGAAGATGACAGTGTGTCCTTTACATCGAGATTTGTATGGCATTCGCTGGAGGTGCAACAAGACCAGATGCTCAATTCGAAATGACCTTGCAGCACATAAATCTTTATCCGTCAAAGCTCAATGTGGACTGACAACTTTATTATCATCTTTTATTTTTAACAAGACCAAGATATTTATTCCTGTGGGAACAGGTACGAGGTTAATTTATTCAGTACATCTATTTCCTGCGTATAAGGTCGGCAGGAAACGTGAGAGAAGTATGAGGATATTTTACTATGCATGCACAAGTAGTGCAGGTTTTGTTTTTAACTGAATTTCTACGTTTTTTTGTAGAATGAAGAATTTACTTATACTAAACTTTTAGCAGCAATGCCTTTATTTTACAGGATATACAGTATACTGTATACGTTAATTTTTTGCTTGTTTTAGGGATATGCAGGAGCTGTAAAGAACATTTAGCTCATCTGGCAACAGAATGGAGAACTAGTAATTTAGTGTCAACTGACGACGAATCAAGTAACTGCTTAGAATTATCAACATCTCTGCCGCAGATTAACGCAGAACAGCCGGTAATAAGAAACAAGTTTAACTTTATCACGAGCCATGATCCACGCATTACATTTTAACAGCTTCTATTCTTTATTAGGAAGACAGTAATACTGGTACGTCAGATGAACTTGTTGAAGAAATGGATAAACTTGTACTTAACGAGACCAGGTGGAGCATCTTCTCTCCAGACACTGCAAGTACTACATCATCATCATCTTGTGACGTCACCGATGTTTCTTCTTCATTGGTTGCTAGAAGAAAATAGCTAAACGAATATTTGGAAGCCTGTAATATTCATCCTTTGAAAAGACCAATGTCAGATTGGGACCAGACATCAGAGCGCACACAAGAACGATACATCCAAAAAACATGTGAAATTGTCTCGTCAGTGTTAAATGATATTTCATCCACTAATGCCCCACATCTTTGGAAAGGGCTTCAAACTTCCGGAAGGATGAACAAAGCATTTGGATTAAGCCATCAGCCAGCAGAAAAAGCTTATTTAGAAGCCTTAGCCGAAGCGTATAAAACCGCAGATAGCTGGGATACTCGGCGCCAAGTCTTATCTACCATGTCCGATGTGGCTAATTTTAATGTCATTTCAGAATATATTCCTGGTCTCACACACTACCGTTTTACTATGGCTAATCTTCATCGACTTCAGTATGGAAGGTGCGTTCCAGTTCCGTTAAAGACATCGCCTCGTCTTCGTATATGTCAGCAACAGCTTGACCATTTTCTGAGCTTTATAACAAGCCCCCATTTAGTGCAAGACTTGCCGTTTGGCGAAAAAGAATTGAAGATGTCCTCAGGTAAAACAATTAAAGTACCGAACATCATCCGTACCATGATACCTCAAAGAATTGTGAACCAATACTCTCAGTACTGCAAAGAAAACAATTTTCAATCTTTCAGTAAGAGCA